CACTTGTTTGACATCCTAATCATTATTATTATTATCCCAATTCTCAAAACCATTTGACTAAAATATCAGTAAAAGTTATCAAGTTCCAAAATTGACACTATTGCAACGCCTCCACAGATTGCCTCAAAGACCCTTCTGTTGATGAAAATGCTGCTTCACCTTTCTTCAACCAGTTCACATACTGCTCTTGCTCTCTTTTGTGTAAGTAGTGGAGAAGAAAGTTTGTCAGGCTTACGCCAATGCCCTTGACTATCAGGTATTCCTTGAGTGCATGTTGCAACTCATTATCCAATGTGCTTCACATGGATATACACAAGACAATGAACAAGTATTAGTAAAAAGACCAATGTAATTTATGAATGATTTACTAGAATTTGAAATGATGATACTGGTAAAACCAACTTCTGGTGATGATTTGATAAGTCATAAAAGCAACAAGGAAATGCATGTTTGCTAATCTAGCGAATTTAACTTTCTAAAGAGCATGAAAAGAAGTTCTAAAGTTTAATATTAACATATAGTTTAAATTTTCACAGGCTTAGTTATATCAAGTTACAAGCCTATGCAGTTAAGAAGATGAGTAACCAAAAAGCATACACTAACAGTTAAAATAACTTTAATATGTTAAAAATCTAACAAATTTTGGTAAATGAATTTTTGTTTCTAATGCTACTTAAAAAAAGTAGTTGAACACGGTCTTGCACAGTTGCCAGTAAGAAACAGAATCAAGATGAGTAACTCTGTGAAAATGTATTTGTAATATCTAATCCAATCAAGATGAGTAACCCTGTGGAAATGCATATCTAATCCAACAGGACTATAGCATGCCATCTAAACATTAAAGCCATATGAATAGGTATGTCAACACTCAAGGTTCACGAAGGATGTATGCAATAGACATTAGGTAGAGGAGTCTTGGATATGAAGCCAAGATAAAAAATGGTAATCTAACATTCGCATGCTTTTAACATCTTGGCATTCGAATGTTCAAAACCTCAGTTTAACACCAATCAAACTGGTTGCCAAACACACTATAAGCTATAAGAGTACATTCATTCTATGACAATAACACTAGCAGCATAAACGAACAAGAAAAATGAGCCATCAAGATTCAGAATGCAATGTGCAAATAAATGGGCAGATTGAAATAATCTCTGGAGATTTTGAAAACATCAAATGATCATAACCAAGCATGTCAAATGTGTAGGCCTGGGTTAAATTTGGAGTTACAATCTATGAAGTAAATAGACACTTTAGTTTCTGAAGTTGTTGAACATAGTCTTACATTAGTCTCTTGAACAAAATAAATTCTCAAAAAGTTCCCCAAAGCTGTAATTACTCAGATACAATTAGTGCTAGATATGTGACTTAATTGATTATACTAAAATTGTTAAAGAATAAAAAGAGACAGAACTGGTTAAATCTAGGGACTCAGATGAAAAGATTCATACTTCCCGGGGGTTTTGGGCTTTGTTAATTATAGAAGGACTAAAATGACAATTTTAGGGGTTGAATTTGTCATTTACTCTAATCTATAGCACAAATTGTACTCTTTGTTCATTGAAGCAAATCTCCAGCACTAAATATATCCACCACAAAATTGTAAAGCCAATACAAATCAACTTCCCCTCAAACAGGAAAACCAAAATTGTTTTAACATAGATAATAATTGTAAGGAACAATGGCCAGTATCAGCTTACCTGAATAAGGGACCTCTGTAATTGGAAGGCTTGAGAAATGTAGGTGATCTGAGATAATAAGCATTATATATGTCAAAATCAGAGCCCTTATCAGTTTCTTCATGAACTCCACAGTCAAACTGCAAAATGGAGCTTAATGTTGGTTTTTTCACACACACTTTCATAAAAGCATCTCTTGGAAAAACGGTGTCTTCCTCGTAGTTAGGAGGCCCCAGAATAGCAGAAACTGCAACTTCCTCACCAGAATCGAATTTTCTTCGCAAAACGACATCTTTGGAACTGAGTGAGTCAGGTTCCATCACAAAGTCCCCTAAGGAACCAGTTTGAGCATTCTGCACCCATGGAAATGCACGAGTAACTCAAAAGACCCCCTTTTGTTTTTTAACTGTCATGGGTGTGGCGATTCAAGATGTAGAGTGTTTTGAAGTGAAATGGAAGAAGTGATGAAAGAACATGACATGGAAGGAAAAGAAAGAGCGAGAGAACCTGAAAATGATTGGAAGAAAGCTCGAACTGAATCTCGGATTTGAAGCACTTGAGCAGTTCGAGATCTTGAATATATCTCTGTGGGTTGTGGCATAGATGACGAAGATGTACCACACTCTGCTTCACCTCTCTAACCCTTCCCAACAGCATCATCTTTCCCCAACCGCCTTGTGATATTCCAGGGTGTTTTCTCGTTTGTTTCGAACGTTCTTTCTAACCTCAGGAGGTACAGCAAATCTTTCCTAATTTTTTCTTTTTTAAGTTTTAGGGAAAAAAGTAAATTTATTTATTTATTTTTACTTTAAAAACGAAAATTTAATAGGGTAACATTTTTATGAATTCAAAAATTTCTAAAATAGAACAAGCGGTTTAAATATATATTTTTTCTGAAATTTTTGAATTTGTATGGGCATTTTAAACATGTTAAATTATTAAAATACTGAACATTTGAAATTAAATTTTTCTCAAACTATTCTATTACTAGGAGCGAAGCTTTTTCCAGTAGTGAAGCTCTGAAAAGCTCTTCTAACATTTTACACAAAAAGACTATGGAAAATGACACTTGAACAACTATTTTTGACAATATTTAGACACGCACACACGTGTCAAAATCTGAATGGTCCAGTTGGAAAAATTAAATGAAAATGGACCACTCAGATTTTGACACGTGTGCGCGTGTCTAAATGTTGTCAAAAATGGTTGTTCAAGTATCATTTTCCAAAGACTATATATCATTGTTACTTGAAAATAAAAAACAAGCAGGTAGAACACTGCTACCTGAGAAGCGTGCCTTTTTCTTCACTCTCTTTCTTATTTCTTTAAAATGGAGGTTATAATATACTAATATTCCTTAGTTTAAACATTTTTAATATTATTAGAAAATGGCTTTTATGTAAGACATGATGATTTTAATAAGCCTAGGTATAAGTTATAAGTTAGTAATTGAAATATTTTGAGTTAAGATTTATTTTAATACTAGGTGGATAATTAGGATAGAATGTATGATGGTAAACTTATTGTGTACATGTTTTTGGTGGTATGAAATAATTAATCATTTGAATTAAAAATGTGAAACTAAGATAATAGGCGAAAAAATAAAATGAGTAGTCTTTTTGTTGCAACTTTACTTATTTATTTATTTATTTTGGTTTGTTTTTGAAATCGTGGGCGAAGAGTGGCTTACAGGTTAGTTTCTTTTTCTTTATCTTCTCTGTTCCTTATTTCTCTTCTTCTTCCTTCCACAAATAAAACCGGGAGGGTCAGAGTGAGATTGGGGTGAGAGGGAGTAAAATAGAAATCAATGCTCTGGTGAGAAACTAACTGGAGAAAGGGGTTATAGAGGTTGACGTTAAAGGCGCCTTATTGGAGGCGGAATCCGAGATTGGGGAGAGTAATTTTAGGTTTTCGAGTGTCTATGGTGAGGGTATCGGTGAAACCTATAAAAGGAGCCATAGGGGTAAGGGTAGAGCACGAAACAACAAGTGCTTTAGCATCTAAGAGTGACTGAGAGAGTAAGGGTGCGAGTTGAGCGTGGGAGAGCGAAACAAACTTGACGAAAGGGGGAGAAGATGAATTCAGTGAGGAAGGAACGACCAAGGTATGGGGAGTTAATTTGTATTTGATTGTTTAAGTGTTTGATAATCTGGAAAAATTCTGGGTTTTCTTCTAGGCTATTGATTTGTGAATACTGTGTGGTTTTGGTTCGAATACGATATATGTGTAATTGGTAGAATGTGGTGGCTGGGATTTAATTGTGGCATATCATGTTGAAATTCGTAATTGGTGACTTGAGTTGTTTTTTTTCATAGCATTGTGTGTGTGAAATTAGGTTCCGAAAAATAATATTGGTATGTTTTGGTTGGCTGTTTGAATCTTGAAGTGCTGGAAATTTACATTTAATATTGTTTTGGGTTTCGATCTGAGTTAATCAAGCTTTCACTGGTCTATGGATGGTTGTTTTGTAATTATAGTTATTTTGGTATGCCTTTAAGGTGGAATTAAAATGTATTTCAAATAGTGCTTGTTGAATATGACTATTTGGATGTATTAACATTCTGAAAACCTTGGTTTAATTCTGATTAGATATTAAATTGATAATGATGCTGTGAAACCTGGAATGAGTTTATCTTTGGATTCTTATTCGTGAACTTTGTAATAGTTTGAATATATCATATATGTTTAGTTTGTAGAATGTAATGCTTAAATATTATAAAGCTCTTGAATTGATTGTGATTAGAAACTAGTCTAGTCAATTGAAATATCTTCGATCTGGGCTTGAACTATAATTAAGCGTTATATTTGTGAAAGTGGGAATTATGTATTTTGAAGGTGTGTCACTCTGTTTTAATCTAAACGTTCGACTAATCAAGATTGTACTAGAAATAAGGATGGATGTATTGTAGAATAGCTAATTGATTATGAATTCAAAGTGAATTAAAAATGGTTAGAATGAGTACAGGGATAGTACGTTAGATATTTCTATGATTTTTCTGATGGTATCCTTTATAGTTTCATAATGGTGATTGTTTTTGCTATAAAATAACTTGTCCAAATAATTAATAGCACTGGAAGTAAATTTTGGTATGGGTAGTTAGATTGTTGGTTTGGATCTTGGTGTTATATATATATATATAGACACACACACACAACACACGCGCACGCACACGCACACGCGCACGCGCACGCACACGCGCACGCACACGCACGTGTGTGTGTGTGCGCGCGCGCATGCACTTTTAGATTGAACTCGGGTACAGGATCAAGAATGTATATATAAATGTGTGTTGTCATATGATAGTTTCTATAGAGGTGATTGTCAAAGATTTGGTTAATGATGCCAGTTGATTATGCTAAATTGAAATTTTATTCCTAAGACCCTCCAGTGTCCAATGCGTAAATTATGAGAAATGAATTGAAATTGATTTAGTTGTTTTGTAATGTTGAACTTTATGAGGGATGGTTATTAGCTCTGTTGGAAGCTGTATATGATATACTATTGGTGTATATGTTTTAAACATTAGCTCACCCATATATTTCTTTTTGCTTGTTTGCGTGTACTTGTGCAATGATCATATAACATATACGGAAACCCAAATAGGATTACATATAATTCTGGAGCCGCTAATTGACGAGAGGGGGATCCACTATGGAAATTTTATAATGATGTTTTAGAAATTTCTGGGAATGATGTTTTAAATTAAGATATGGACAATTATGTTTGAAGTTATAGTAAATTATGTTTCTTTGAAATTCTCAAACTTTATCTTGACAATTTCTTTAGTACTTGATGTGCTTGATTTAAGTGTTCTTATAATAAAATTTTCAATTTATTTTCGACTCGAGGAAATTTTAAATTTTGGCTCATTTTCGTGACTCTCAAAATTAGGGGTGTTACATTTTAAGCGTATAACAACCTCAAAATCGACTCCGAAGGTGATGTTTGCGCTTATATATTTTATTTGAGCCATATTTCTAGACTATGAGATCTTCAACAAATATATTTTATCCTTTACACTTGTTTCCATTTTAGTCATGTAGATGAGTTTCCTTTTCATGTGGTCCGTTTGAGATAGTGAGTCTCAGTTATAGGGCGAGTACTGATTTTATAAAAGGGTCATTAACTTATCTAACAGGTTGGTTATAGGACCTAATAATTACTAACATAAGGATCCAATAAAAATATTAAGAATATTAGGCAAAAATCAAGGAAATATCTATTTGTGGTACTTTGAGTTGGTTAAGAAAAATACAAATTCTAAAGATTAAATAATATTAGTTAAGACTGGGAGATAATAGAACAACTAACTAGGGCTTATAAAATACACCTTACACTATGAACAAAGGGACTCAATTTGAATGCCCTAGAATCATACTGAGGTTTTTTTGGCTGGAACATTTTGACACCCATCATGGGGTCCAGTAAATCATTTCTAATGCCCTTTTATTATTGTTCTCCTTCTTCTCTTGCGGCAAGGGTTTTATTAGTGCAGCTTTGTTTAGATACGACCTTTTATGCCATTTTAGTAGTTTTAATCCTTCAATTTGTGCGTATCCTATTAGATTGTGTTGCCTGCATCTTATGGTTTTATGCCATTCATGTTCTTCTTTTATTTTTCATTTATTTTTGTTCGATTTGTTTGTTATCATCTGTTTTCGAACATGTGAGGTTATGTGTGTTGATTTTTGTAGATGAATAGTTTCAACGGCACAACCAACTTGCTTTGACATAAATGGGTGCTTCTTGGTTTATTTATATTTTTGCCATGTGATTATCGTATAATGATATGATTTAGTGATTATTTTAACATTGCTGCCAACAATCCTAACAACTGATCAATCGGTTTATATTTTTAATTACAGCTTTTGAGCTATGGAAGACAATACATGGGGATGTTCTTCAAGTGAAGATGGTGATGACGAGGTCTATTTCCAAAATGCAAGTGATGAAGAGGAGCTCGGCTTTTCATCTGGTTCTATACCTAAGTTGCAGTTCAGGTCAAACATCTTTACATTGTAAATTAGTACGAACTAGTTAGGATATCTCTTTTCCCCCTGCTCAAGTTTGATTTTCAAAGTGAAGATTTTTTCATTTCATTTACCAGGAACGTGAAATCCAAAAGCATTTGGAATGAAGAAATGGGAATGGGAGAAGTCATTGAGAAAAATGGAAAAATGTGGATAACAACTGGAATAGTTCGTAGTGGCAAGATTTATTCTTCAATTGAGGAGACTTTGTAGGTGATTTGCAATCTTTTTATACATATCTTTTGTTGACATTCAGAAATAGGGAAGAGTCACATACTTCTTGAAGCCTTAGCTTTCTGTGAATAATAAACTTTGTAACTAGGCAATACACTTGTTTGCATGTGAAAAAAAAGTATGTATTGAAATTGTGAGCTGTTTTCAAATTCCTGCTTATGTAAAGGCTGATATGGCAGGTATCTTATGGAACTAGGAGCCTTACAGCTATTAGAAAGTAGTGGTAGAAGCATATCTCTCGCAGAAATGTATGAAAAGGTTGCTGGCGGGAAGAGTGGATGTTGTTGGGAGCTGTTTGAGGTTTACAGGCACCTCAAGTCTCTTGGTTACATAATTGTGCGGCATGGTGTTCTTTGGAGTTTGAAGAGTATTAAAAGTTCCCATAGACCTGCTGCTCTTGAAATAGCAGAAGAAAGCAAAGAACTAATAGACATGGGCTCTGTCCAAAGATTATTTTCTGAGTTGCGAGTAAATGATTTGAGGCCAGATTTTGATGTTTATCTTCCGAACAGCCGATTTAGAAAGTCTTCCCCTGGTGATCCAAGTTTTTTACTGTACTTATCTAGGTAATAACCATTCCTCATGCATCAGTATGATTACTTTAGATTCATAAATTTAATTGGTTAGTGATCTTTCTGTTGTTTATAAATGGACTAATTGAGAACGTGACTAAGGAATTCAAGCATATTATGGCCTAATTTTTTGCATTCCCCCATTGAAAATCGGAGGAATTAATACTGGCTCAAACATGCTGCTTTATTTTGTGCCGTGTGTGTTGTAAGGTCGGAGGTTTGTAATGTGGCCATGTTATTTCTCACAGTAAACCACTAGGAATTGATGAAGACATTGCCGCAGTCTGTTCTCTTATAGGATTTAAAGGTATTGCCATAGGAAAATGCAATTTCATATCGAAAGATATTTGTTCTCTGTTAAATACACTTCAATACATCCATGAGAAGCTGATGGCCAGCTGAAACTTGGATGAATAGTTCTAATTCCTGGGGAACAAGTGAGCAAGTAACTGTTGTAGATATTTACCAATTATAGTTATTTATTTTAGAAAAAAGGAACTGGAAATGATCGACATTGATTATTTGTCCCCCGCTAATTAATAGCCAAACAAATTTGTCCTTAGTTTTTTATTTCTTTTTTTATTACCTGTTGATGGAAATCTATTCAATCGTGTATCTTCTGTTAGGGGTCATCCACCGTCTAGAACAGAGATTGAAGTCCTTGAGAAGCAATGTGGTGGCATTCCTTTGAAAATCTGCCTGGTCACGGAGGGAAGGGTCAGTTTCTTTTCCTTTGACAAGGTGGATCTTTCTGTTCTACCCTGAAGTTCTGGTACCAACGCTTCTACTCTGAGCTGGGGGCAAAGGAAACTAAGGGGTGTAACAAGAGAATGGGTTTGTTGTAAAGTTATAGCTTATTATAGGATCCAATGTAGAATGGGCTTAGTGATCACAACTAATGCCTGACTCTAGTCAAATTGATTATGATTCTGCAGGGAGAGCATGCTATTGTTGACCATAGCCAGAATCTAAAGCATGGGCTTAGCCATACACGCCTCTGTTTACATATGGGCTATAGAGGACAAGGAAAGTTCTCTGTTAGATAGATGATGTAAAATTACAAGAGTACATGTGATTAGACTATCAAATAGGATATTTTATACATCATTCAATTGATTATTATAATTTCTATTTGAACTTGTAGAAAATTCTATGGGCTTGCTACAGTGGTTTTTGAATTATTGAAATCCATATGCTATGTACACTATTAGAGAAATCCATATGGTTGAGGAGACCTTTTAATTAGATCCTAACCTACATGAGCTTTGGTCCTAACTTACATGAGTTAGGATAAAAAAAGTTCAAAGGACAAAAAAAATCCTACGTTAAAAAAGTTTACAGACTCAAAATACCAACAAACTTGGTGGGTTAGGACCAGTTCATGAGTTCTTTTTTAATATGAAAAAAAATTAATTTGTATATGAATAATTGATGTCTTTTAAGTATTGAGTACAATAATACATGACAGATATTTATACCACCTATATATGCTTATTATTATTCTCCTAATTTATACATAAATGTTTCTGCAGTTTAGCAAAAGTTTATATTATTCACCGAGTGAAGTTTTTTAAAGAGAATTTTATGAGGAATTTTCAAATAGATAAAAGATATTGTTTTGTTGTTTCCATCTTATATACACTAAATGTCTGTTATATATCATTGCCTGTAAATAATCTCTGCAAAACAACTTATTAATCAGTTCAAGTAAAGTTTCTGGTTTTTACCATGTTTTCATGTTCTATTTGCAAACTTAAATTCAAATTCAGCATTGTATATAAACAAACTTAATGGTGTAGATAAATCCATAAAATGTGAACACATTTCTGTCCAAAATTTCTTACATCTGAGTTAAACAACAATAAAACAAAGGGGTTCAGTGTCGATTAAACATAAAAAAAAAAATTGAATATAAAATTTAAACAAGTCATTAAACATAAAGAAAATAAAAGCATTACTAACCCCTTCATCTAGTGTCTACTGGACCTTTAGGATATCCAACCCCTTCATCTTCTCAATGAACAACATCCGTGTGTTGTTCAATATAACATCCTCTAAACATCAGGACCAACTAAAGTTGTAGTTTATCTAGCTTTAACATCATAACCTATTCTATAGTAGATGATTAGAGTCTCCTTCTAGCTTTACCTTGTGTGGAATTATCAACCCGATATGTAGAAGCACTTACCATTTCTATAACATAAAAAATAAATAAAATTAAAAAAAATAACAAAATCATAAGCTATTAAAAATAATTTTTTTTAAAAATTAACTAAATTTCAAAATTCGTATTCAACCTAAATCTAGTACCCTATAACTAGATTTGAAAATTTATTCAATCCTATATTCCCAAATCTGTAATCCTAAATTCTTAAATTTGGTTTCTATTCATGTTCAGCTACAAATTTTGACATCCAATACAACAAAACACATATAAATACACTCTTTATCCCAAATATATAAATTTAATAAATGTAAATGTGTATCTTTCTTCTTCTTGTTCGTGGCACAAGCTTGCGTGGAATGTATGGAGTAGGGTGGATTAGGAAAAAGGTTTGAAAAAAAAAAGAGTTGAGTAAATATAAAAAGAGATTTTTTTTTACCCAATCATACAGTCTAAGGTCAGTTAAAAAATTTAGAAATACAGAAAGAAAAATTAAAAATACAAAAAGAAAACCCGATCAGAAAAATAAGATTTAGTCTTGAAGAAGGTCAAGATAATTCCATAGACAAGATACTCAAAAGCGCTTCAGTGTTGAGGCTGATTTTTCAAGATCAGTGGATTTTCGAAGAAATCACCACCAATGTCAACATTCTAGAAGTCTTTATGAAAGTTTATGAATGTATTGCTACCTTTTATTTTATTTGTGATTCAACTGTGAATCTTGTTAATGGTTTCATTTCATGTACACATTAAATTACTCGCGGAGTTCCTACAAATTTTGTCTTTTTTTTAATAATTTTTTAACTATTTTAAATTAAAAGGTTTTGTGATATCAGTATAATTAAAAAAAAGAAAACAAATAGTTGCATGAGGATAACAACTAAATTGTGCTGTTCTTTGTAATCACCTTCAAGTAGTTGGGTTCTTGAAAGTTGTAGATAAGGATGATAAAGCAAATTGACTTCGATGAGCTTATCCGTCAATAATTTTATGGAAAAGATTATTATTTTCAATTCGTTTTTATCCATCGCCTTTTTCTTTTAGTTCAAATAAAAATTTAGTTTAAAACATTAAAAATTTAATATTATTTTATTTAAGAGTACAAATGTATTATAATATTTTCTTTTATATTATGAATAATTATAAATTAAGTTATAATTATTCTTGTAAAATTTTTTAATTTGAAACATTAATTATTTAGTTAAAGGCTGAAAAATAAAAAGATAAAAAGAAAATCTATTTTCGGAAAGAATGAGACGTCTTAATCACATTATATTAGATGATTGTGTCTTGGATTCAATTTTGACAAAATCATGCATCTAACAAGTTTTGACGATTTTTATTGTCTTATTATGTCAAAAATATTACCAAATTATAATATATATATATATATATATAAGTATAAATTTTATTTTATTTATATCAATTTTTTAGGTTAAATTAAATTTAAAATATAATTTTCTAAACTATATTTTACGACATTATAGTTTATTAAAAGTCAATATTCTCTAATTCTACATAAAAAAATATTTAATAATATAAAAATGCATGTGAGAAACCTTACCTTGTTTAATAGTATACTTAAATTATAATATATAAATAGATTTAAATTTTTAACACCGAGTTAAATTTATTTTCATGATATATAATTTAGAATGTAATATCTATTTAATAGTATAAAACTATTAAATAAAATATCATAAAATTAATAAAATAAAACAGATAATTAGAAAGGTATATCATATTAATATATTTATCCATTATAATAATATAACATATATACACACCAATTACAATAATTTGAGTTTTTCAATATAGAAATACTTTTATACCAAATTTATATAAAATTATAAAACTATTTCGTTGCATTTTTGCCTTCCACAAAAAAAGTACTATCATTTACCTCACTATCTATTCACACCATAAAGTGATTATTGCAAAATAACAACAAAAAGCAAAAGATACATAGTAAGTTAATGAACAAAAAATTTATTATATATAAGATATTTAACTATATCAAATACTAGCTAAACATAAATAAGATACCATCAATTATACAATTTCACACAACAATTGACACTAAACTTAATTATCTGAATACATGCCCTTGACATCAAAACTCACGAGAGGTTTACACATGTGTTGGTTTCTAGGCTCTTTAGAGTCATAGCTTCAAGGTTATCACCCAACCACACACAAAGTTAATCTCCTTTGCATTTAGGAACAAACAAAATTGATATACTTGAACCTTCTACTATTCTTCTCGACATAACACATTCAATTCTACTTGAGTATGAATGGTTATTGGAGTGTCAGAATATCCTTGTATTTAATACCATATGTCAATGATACATTAAAATTATCATCGCTAAACACCAAAGCATTTACAAAATTGACCACTCAATGACACTTTTTGGCTCTCAACGTCCTGGAGCTAAAATGTTCATAGAGGAAGCTAGCGCTCAATGCCCGTACAACATCTTTCAACACTATATCAACTAATAACAAACATATTTTGTGATTTTAAGTGAACTAGGACCCAATCAATGGCACCCATTTCTTAGTGAATTAGTTCAAAACAATTTTTACACATTAAAAACTTATACCAATTTGCTTAATTATTGAGATCATAAGTTCTCTCAGTCACACAAACCCTAACAACAATCAAATATGAATAAATCCTCAAAACTATACAATTCAATTCAAGCATACATACCAATTAGATTCAATCAACATGAAAAAACATTAGATTTCTCAAACTCACACACTAAAGCAACAAGCTTCCCTTATCTTTAATAACAGTTCAAACAACTCAAGACATTAATAACACCTTGAAATGCATAAGAAACCTTATTTGTCCCAAGGAACAACATAAACATGAATCAATGTATGTCATTAGAACGATTGATCAATAAAGAATCTTATAAATGATTCTAAAGAAGCACACAAGCAAGATTTTGTCCACATGCATAGAAAGAACCAACTTGAATTTATAAAAGAGACAAAAAAAAACAAACTTACTTTAATTAAGAAATTAATTAATCAGAAATTGAGAGTTGACTATATAAAGATCACACAAACATCTCTAATATTTAAATAAATAGGCAAGATATCAAAAAATCTAAAGAGAAGAAAAAAAGTTTTAAGAAAAAAATTTATAAAAAAGAATGAATATTTTTAAATTTTTTAAAATAATAAAATTCATTTATAAAAGTTTTATTTACATTTTAAACTTTTTATTATTAAAATAGTCAAGTTTTACTATTTTAAATACACTGTTAATTTTAAAAGACGATTTTTTAGATTATATAACTTTTTAAAAAAGAACACTCATTGTATAAACTGCACATAATCACGTATTGGATTTTATTTGACTTTTTGAAAAGTAACTTAAGAAAAATGAATAAAATAAGCGTAGGACACAACCACATATTTGGATTGAAGGTTAGTGACACACGATTCCGAGTTATCCAACAATCTACATATCTTCGTAAGGATAAGTGACAGATTTGAATAAAAGAAAGTATACCTCAAATAAGAGAAACTTAATCAAACAGAAAACTGAATATGATATATGAAAAAGTAGCTAAAGACGGGCATGGCTTAGAATCAGTAACTTTAACAATAGGAGAATAATTATATTTTTTTTTTATTCAAAAATGGGTTGTTCTGAATAGTCAGTCCAGACAGAATATTGAAAGAACAATACTTTCCT